ATTTGTGCTGATAAAGTCTCCCTTTATTTATTTATCAGCACAAATAAAACACACACACACACACACACACACACACACACACACACACACATATATATATGTATGTATGTATGTATGTATATACCAACAAAAGCACTGATATCTCCCAGAGGCTTTGCAGTCCTTTTTCTACAATCCCATTATTGCATTTAAATCCCCTTGTGAGCTGTGAAGGTGAAATGGAAACAGTTGTGAAACTAGCAGCAATGATCCTGTTTAAATGTTGCTATGATGAGTGGATTGGGAGAAGATGAATGTGAACCTATTTATACAGAAAGAGACAGGGTTTAGGAAGAAGCGACATAATTACTATGGGGTAAGTGAGGCGGGATGGCCCTGTGAAGATTTGAAGCCAGGAATCTGGAAGGTGGGTGAAGAAGAAATTGCCACCAAGAAGATGAAGCTGTTCAGGAGGACTGCAGAGCTGCAGTTATCCTAAAGGGGAGAAAAGACTTCACTGGGGTTTTCAGCAAATCATAATAAAGTCAGAAATAATTGATTCAGATCTCCAAATTAGACATGCAAAAAAAAACATTGGTGTGGAATGATGTCATCCATTTAACTTTAAATGCTTACAAATATATGTGCATGTTTGCACTAGTCTCTGTGCAAAATCGTTGAATCTGAGAATTCAGAGGTTGCAATTAAGGCTCCATCAGAAATCATCCCTTGGCTAAAGCAGGAATCCGTTGGATGTCTTCATTTGATGGTATCCAACAAAGGAGCATCCACTACTCTTTTCATAACTGGTTTTCCTATCAAACTGCTCTTAACTTTTAAGAAGATTTTCACTGACCTTCAACCACCATCTATCTCCTTGTAACATTATTAGCCCATTGCTCCGCTTTCTGCTCTCTGGAACAAGAGACAGTAGGCTTTGATCTTTGTGTGATATTTTTAAAAGTGTTTTTTCCCCCCTGAAATATTATTTCTCCGCAGGCTTTTTCTCTCACACATAGCTAACCATGCCCAGCTCCTTCAGTCTCTCTTCATAGGAGAGTAAATACTCAAGCTGTTTGATGACTTTTCTGCAGACCACAACTGGAGGGTTCATATATGAGTAATTCTTTGAGGAGGAGACTTCCCGCAATCCCTTGGTTTTATTCCAGTACCTGGATAAAGCATATTTAATTGAGTCAGGTGTCAGGGTTCCGACAGGTGCCCTAATTAAATCATGAGCCTCAAGCCAAGCTTAAAAAGAAATCCAATTATTAGGAGCTTCATGTTGACTTCATGTTCCCAAGGGAAGCCAGCTCTGACCCCACATAATTTACAGTCCCAATCATGACCCTATTTCCCCCCTCCACCCAGGGTGTGTCATCAATCACATTCACCAACGGGGCAATTTCGCGGGTTGTAGAGATCACTCCCCTCCAGCGGCTGTAAGTAATTCTGGGATGCAGCCTTGAGAGAGATAAGCCTGGAATGTGCATTTGTCTTTGACTTCCATGTCGTTTCATCGGTTTCCCATCCCCCCCCCTTCCTATGGCAACTCGAGAGCAGGCCAGGGATGCCTTGCGAGTTGACATCAGGTGGGTTTAGCATATCGTGCCAAAATACCAAGTATGGATTATGTTCTCAGTCAAGAATAATCCAGAGTCATTTTTAGCTATTTTCACATGGGTCTCGAGAGAATAGGTTTATTCATGCCAGTTTGTAAAAGTCCAAGAACTCGAATATTTATGAAACTCAATGCTCTTTGGAAAATGGGCCATGTCTGCATATTTCCTCACATCTGCTATTAAATCCAAAGTGGGCAAAGGAGCTGGAAAATATTATGCAATTCAGAACTTGTCCTTTTATAGTACAGAGCAAGACAATTCTCAGAAGTTTTCTCATTTTTCATCATCTTTGTCTTCTCATCTCGGGAATCTTTAGGCCAGGTTTGTCATCTTGGTTTTATGTTTGGCTCATTCTCTGCTTTTAAAGAAGTTCAAAATGGAACATTTTGTTTGGAATCTATCATAACAAAAAGATTGCAAGCTTTTTGTTTCTAAGGAATATGTCCAAATGTGGAACTGACCAATTCTCCATTCAAGGTTCGCTGGCACCATTTTTTGCTCCCTCAAAATTCTGTGTGGTACCATTGAAATTTTTCAAAAAAGCAAGAAGTTTTCAACAGGTTTTATTTGTGCAATTTATTTATTTGTTCACTATCTCCATCCTCATGGGTTCTGAGCAGTGTATGTGTGTTAAAAGATCAATATTTTGAACAGGGAACAAAATAAAGCAATTGCTTGAGCCATCAAAGTATCTTAGCGCACTTTTAAAATATATTTTTTAAGTGAAACAGCAAAATAAAGGCTAATTATCTGAAAAAATGCCAACCTTGCTTACTCCAGTTTTGAACAACCAGGGAAAAAAACTTACAAAGAAAAATGTATGGCTTCTGGGCCACAAAAGTTTGCCTATTTAGCAGATTAGATCACATCTCTGATAATTAGGATTTAAGTTAAACCTTATCTGGTCTAGCTGAACTGCTTATGCAATAGAAGTCTTTATATCAGAGGTCGCCAAGCCCATCCCCTTGATGGATGGATGTCTGTGCCTGGGCACTGAAAATTAATTCCAGGCCTGAACTCTGGAAGGGATATCTTAAACTAAAGCTGTGGTTTACTTGGGTTCTTATACTTAGTTTTAGTGACATTAAATATACTCAAATCTCTTTTAATTTGTGAAATTGAAGTTATTTTAAGATTGAGACTCTTCTTTAAAAAAAAAAAAGCCAGATTCATTTTCCAGGCATTTTGTTTAAGTTGTGGAGTATGTTCTTTCCAAGGTTTTTAATCTTTGGATATTTTTTCTTGTCTCCTTCTCCTCCCCCCCCACCTCCCTTCTCTTCCTTCTCCTCCCCCTTTTTTGGGGGGGTTCAGAGCAAAGAAGATATTTACTTTGTAGTCTTGAATAAAGAGGAAGGTTCTGGCCTGGGATTTAGCGTCGCAGGAGGAATAGACCTGGAACAAAAATCCATCATCGTAAGTGGTGACTGCATCTTTCTTCTAAGTGGGTTGCAAAGCCAGCTGGAAATGAGATTGAGAACTCTTAAGTCATGTCTTAGCTGTACGATCCTATTGTGAACTTCATTTTGTACTCCATCTGCTGATGCTATCAGAGAGGCAAGTGGGCCTGCCTGCCAGATAAACTCTGATGCACACAGGTTTGCCAAGGTAAGTGCCTGTGATAGGCTCACACAGATCTTGGCGACTGAAAATCCTAACATTAGCTCCATCCAAGCCTTATCTTCGTTCCAATCACAGGCTTTGTATTCCAGGATTCCCGAGCTGTACTTGGTTTTTCTATTGAAAGGGCTGCAAGAAATTACATTAACTAAACATTTGCGGCTTATATGAACTGCAACTACCCACCTACACAGAGCAGTGTTTTAGTAGGATCATTAGACTTTTGGCAATATCAAATGAAATCTTTCTTAGGCGATCCAAATTTATTTATTGAATTTGCTTCATTTCTAGATGTACACCTAGATTAGGGACGGCGAACCTTTTTGGCGCTGAATGCCCAAAGTGTGCACGCGCCACCCCAAAATGCAATCCGACTACACTCCGTGCATGTGCCCCTCCCCCCGCACATGCGCCTGTCCATCCCCTGCATGCGCCCCACCCTTTAGGCATGCGTGGCAGAGATCCAGAGGTCAGCTGGCCGGCGGGAGGTATGCGCGCATGCGCAGTGGAGCTGGGCTAGGGCTATGGTTGCCGTGCCTGCAGAGAAGGCTCTGTATGCCACCCGTGGCAAGCGTGCCATCTAGATGATTTTATTTTTGCTCAGCTGCAGCCTTTTGACCCAACTTAGTTTTGGGTGGATTTGAATTTATTTTGTTTTTACTTATAGTCCACTCAGGAGTTCAGTGCAAGTCGCTTAGTGTTTCTGTGTGGTTTTTTTCCAAAGGATTCCATGCATTTTACTAAAATTCTTTGATGGTAGAGATGAATTCCTTGAGACTGAAGGCAAAAGCTTTTCTCAAGTGAAGTTCTATGGTTTGACATTGTCTCTTTTCTGGTGTTTTATGACCCCCCCCACGCCCCCCACAGGACTTCCAAGTGTCTCCCATCCAATTCCTAAACAAGTCCAACCCCTGCTTAGCTTCTCAAAGTCAGCCAAGGTCAGCTAAATGCTGCCACCTGCTGGGACAACTAAGATTAGGATGTGTCAAAGGGGGGGTGTTCAGTGAAGCTTCGGATGACATTTTTTGAAGCTGCAAGCAAAGTGAAGCTGCCATGTTATTTTGCTTATTATTTTGGGATTTCCTCTGGTATTTCCCTTTGCTGGAAGTATATGGAGAAATCTTCAAACCAGCCTGGAGGCAAACTGCATAATTTCTGCCATTGGACGAGGCAAAGAGCATGGTTTTTGTGGAGCAAAGAATCTTCTTCATCCCAATTGCAGCCCTCCCCCCCTCCCCCCAATTTCCCCTTTCAAAATCATCTTCCAAAAAAATGTGTGTCTGTCTCGGGAATTTGTCTGAAAATATTACAAGAAGCATCTGCTTTAAACATTTAGAAGCATTTTCTTTCTGAGTTTGGCTGACATTCCTACAGAGGGCTATATTATCTTTCCATCAACTTCCACAGAGCCTTGGCTCACATGATCAAATTCATCTGCATTGTGTAGCTATTTGAGAACTGGGCAGGTGGGTTGTTGTGTTTCACTATTGTTGGTACTCTTTAGGCAGTGGTGGGAAAGCACTCACAAATCAATTACCATATTTTTAGGAGTGCAAGACGCACTGGAGTATAAGACGCACCAAAATGTTGAAGAGGTAAATTTTAAAAAAAGGTTTTGCACTCTGCAGGCCTCCCAAACCGTCTGCACACCTCATTTTTTCTGAAAAATGGAGCATGCAGAGTGTTTAAGAGGTTTGCAAAGTGCTCCGGGGGGTTGGAGGGGCATAAATGAACAAAAATTGGCCCATTTTTCACAAAAATAGGCTCATGTTTTGTCCCCAAAAACAGCATGCATAGCCTTTAGGAGGCTTGTAGAGTGCTCCTGGGGACTGGGGGGGGGGGGGGGGCCAAAAACAAGCCAAAAATGGCCCATTTTCCACTCATTTTTGCCTTTCCCAGCCCCCAGGAGCACTTTGCAGGATTCCCAAACCCGCTGCATGTCCATTTCTGTGAAGGGGGTGGGGTTTCGGGAGGCTAAAAATTCTGTATTCAATGTATAAGACACCCCCAGATTTTCACCCTCTTTTTTTGGGGGGGGGGAGTGTGTCTTATATTCTGAAAAATATGGTAGTTAAACTGAGAAAAGGATTTAAACCTTTTAAATCTGCTAACAGTTCTTTGATCCATTGACCCACTTCATCCCAATGTGTCTTCTTGAAGGTCCATCGGGTGTTTTCCAAAGGGGTGGCTTCCCAGGAGGGAAAAATTCACCGTGGTGACCTCATTCTTTCTATCAATGGCACTTGTTTGGCGGGTTCTGTCCATGGAGATGTCCTCAACGCACTCCATCAGGCCAGACTCCATAAATACGCCATCGTGGTCATCAAGAAGGAGAAAGACAGAGGAAGAATGCCTCCTCGGAGCAATGAAATGCCTACTTCTGATAGGCCAACTTTGGTGGCTGCAGCTACTGGAGGTGAAGCAGGTACTGTACTGTATGGGTTAAGTGGTATTTGAAATGAATTCACCCACCACTCTACTCTCTCAAGAAATCATAGCAGTGATGGGGAGAGCTGCACCCATAGGATGCATACTCCTATGAATTGTAAAAAAAAATTGGATGGAGTAAGTGAAAATTGAGGGACGCGGTGGCTCTGTGGCTAAGGCGCTGAGCTTGTCGATTAGAAAGGTTGACAGTTAGGCGATCCGAATCCCTAGCGCCGTGTAATGGAGTGAGCTCCCGTTAACTTGTCCCAGCTTCTGCCAACCTAGCAGTTCGAAAGCATGTAAAAATGGAAGTAGAAAAATAGGGACCACTTTGGTGGGAAGGTAACAGCATTCCATGCGCCTTTAGCGATTAGTCATGCCGGCCACATGACCACGGAGACGTCTTCGGACAGTGCTGGCTCTTTGGCTTTGAAACAGAGATGAGCACCGCCCCCTAGTGTCGGGAGTGACTAGCACACATGTGCGAAAGGGACCGTTACCTTTACCTTTCAAAATACCTTCAATTTTCAATTGGAATCCTTTAGCATCCAAATAATCCTTTGAAAAATAGTAAGATGTTTAAATATCTGAGGCCAAAACCAGAACTGAACTGCTGGATTTTCATGCAGAACAGTTGGGATATCTGACAGTGGCTCTCAGCTTTTGGTTTATAAATCAGATAATAAATGCGGACATTTTATTCCCAGAGACATTTAGATTTATATGCGTTTGTATAATCCAAGTTCAAGTATTCCAAGAGCGTAGCTGGATCCCTGCTGCCACAGCTAAAAATGAAAGTCTCCGATGGTCTGGTCTCCATTTCCAAGAATAGAAATAACATAAGGAAGGAAGGACTGCAAAATATGATTTATACTTTCCAAAGATTTGGAGAACCAGATGTGTCTCTGGTGTATTGCCACGGTCTGTTTTGTGCTCTCTGTGGTATATGACCCCTTACAGGTGATTAACCTGTATTTGATGATGGGAGCGAGTTTTCTGAATTTTTTCCCCTTCTCTCCAAAGGTCCAGGCGGAGACCTGAATGGGGCCATTTGTGTTGAACTTTTGAAGACTTCTGCTGGCCTGGGTTTCAGCCTGGATGGTGGGAAAGCTTCAATATCTGGAGACAGGCCGTTGCTCATCAAAAGAATTTTTAAAGGTAACTTGGGCAGTTTTCTGAGAATCCTGGGGTTTTTTTCCTCGTCTAAAGACAGCCCGAAAACACACTGCCCTTTTTTGCAAGTCTGAATGTCCCCTATTCAGTGCACAGATTTCCTGCACAGATTTCACAGAATCAAAAAGGAGACCCATCTTCCCCGAACAAAATAGTTAGGTCAGCATTGACAAAAAGGATGCACTCCCGAATCACTTCCTGATATTTGTGCTGTTCAAAATTCCAGCTTGGTTAGATCTCGCCCAACAGACCAGCCAATAACTAATCTGGTTCCCCTGTGCCATTATTGTCACCCTGTTTATCAAAAATATTTTGTGTGTCACGCTCCGGTGTCCTGCATAAGAAAAGCCAGCAACACAAGTTGTTGTTAGACCAGTGTTTTTCAACCACTGTGCCGCGGCACACTAGTGTG